CAGCCCTCGCATCATCCTCGTGGCCTCCTCTGGCTTGTTCTGGCTCGTTTTGAAGAAACCTTATTGCCTACCTTTGTTACTGAAAGGATCCAGGTTAAAATAACCCTCCACACCCACAGAGTGGGACTCTGCACAACCTGGAGTCTCAGGGGGGATGGAGAGATGGGGGATAGTCCAGGTCCAGAGCCAGAATTTGGGTATTTCTCTCCATCACCTGCAGAGGGTGGACTGTGGGTGGGACTCTGCACAACCTGGAGTCCCTCTGCCCAGTGGGGATGGGGGATAGTCCAGGTCCAGAGTCAGTATTTGGGTATTTCTCTCCATCACCTGCAGAGGAAGAAGATGATGCTCCATAGGCTCAAGGCCTGTTGATACCCCAGGGTTCTATAGGCTGAAGGCCTTTGAGAAAACCCCAGGGATCCTGGACAGAGCAGACCCTCGGTGTCCAGATCCTGTCCCTCTGCCTTGCGCTGTCTGCAGCTCAGTTGTGCTCCGGCGCAGCCGGCTGGAAGTTGCTGTGTGTTTGACTCTCTTTGCAGAATGTCATTCCTCCTGTGTTTGTTTTCCTCTCCAGAGGAGTTCCTCTCCAGCCTCGATCACTATGAAATTGCATTCCCCATCCAAGTGGACCAAAACGGGGATTTCCTCACCTTTGACGTGAGAAGCCAGCTGAAGCAACGTCCTCGGCGCAGTCTGGGCTCTTTACCCTACGAGCCATCTGAGCAGCAGGTTTTCTACAAAGTCTCTGCCCACCGAACCCAGTTCCTCCTTAACCTGACACTGCACTCCAACCTGCTGGCTGAGCACTTCACTGTGGAATACTGGAAGCGAGATGGTGTGGACTGGCAACATGATTTCCATGAAGACTGTCACTACGCAGGCCACTTGCAGGATCAGTACCTGAACTCAAAAGTCGCCATCAGCAACTGCAATGGACTGGTGAGTCTCTGTATTTTGCCCAGCCAAGGGCAATACTGACAAATTAGAGCTTCCCATAAAGCAGAGCTGATTGCAGCCTCTTTGCTGTAGAAGTGCAACCTGGTTTGAGTCCCAGCAGGTGGGTCCATGGTGGTGGGAAAGGCGTAGGGTTGCTGTCAAGCTAGAATATTGCACGCTGGCATCAGAAGCCACCCGAGGGTGAAGGAAACCACGTCCTTTCATGACATCCTTAGGTGTTCCTGATCCGTGTTTTGCTCGTAGTCTAGTTTCTACCAAAATCAGTGGGCATTTTTCCGTCGATTTTAATTGGAATGGGATAATCCAGGCTCTAGAGCATTATTCTGGCTCTCACAGATCTCTCCACTTCCAACAGCAACAGCAAAAGATCTGTTTCGCATGTGCTAGTGAGGAAGAAGTGCACGAGGGCAAGAATTTCACAGCACAAATGGGAATGTCAAAAGTGCATTCGGATCCTTACAATTGCAGATACATTCCTGGGGTTCCCAGTCACTTCTGTCCAGATTTCAGGAGCTAAAAAAAGTGTGATTTCTGAGGGGAAAAACTGAAATAATCAGTTTTTCAAGATGAAAAAGGAGAACACCAAGAGAGGACAAGATGGCATTCCTCAAATCCAGCAAGGCTGCTGCAGAGAGGGTGGGAATAATTGATTTTGCATGTCCTAACAGCTAGGACTATACATTGTGGTCTTAAATATCAGCAAGAAAGTTTCATGGTAGACATTAGAGGTGAAGATAGCTGAGCTCTGGACTAGATTGCTTGGAGATTACGTGGCCCCTACATTGTTGGAGATCTTTAAGAAGAGGCCAGACAAATGCCTCTCAAAAATACTCCAGGTATGATTCATTAGCTCTTCCAGCATTGGGAACAAATTAAGGACTTCCATCCTTATTTTCCTGTGATTTTTCTGATATTTCTGGCTCACAAAGTACATTTCATGACCAGCCAGATGGAGGAATGGAGCAAACATACCCTGTTAGTGAATCCCAAGGATGATGGCTCCCTTGGAGGGGTGACATGTAGAAAAAAGACACTGTGGGCCAGATTCATATTTATGCTACAGCCCCACCTCTTAGCAGTATTCTGGCAGTGGGGAGAGAGCTTCCAAATGGGAATGAACTCATATTTGATTTATAGCTAAATTACACTGCCAGAACAGTGCTGTGGGTTATTAACAGAAATGAGAATCTGACTCATTATATCATAGAGTCTAAAGTTTCTATCTCGTGGCCAAACATCAGAGCAGCATAAACTCTTGGTTCCCTAGTTAGCCCTTTGTTTAGATATGGGAACTCTGCTGAAGTCCGAGACAATTTACTGGTGTTCACAAAAGTGTTGAAGGGTGAGTTGGATGCTGCTGGCTCAGAAGGGATCTACCATTCTCCTGCCTTCCCACTTCAGAGGGCAGCAAGTCCAGGGCAAGCAGTGGCCCCACAGCACTTGTACTGGGATAATTTAGTCCACAGGCTGCGTTTGGCTCTGGAGAAATACCAGGGGCTGTCTGGAGGAAAATACAGCCAGGCACAAGGAGGGCTGGAGGGTCATCCAGCAACCTCTCCTTGACCTGAGCTCTGTTCTTCTGCCCTTGAGAACTACAGACATCAGCAAGGAGGGAAGAAGAGGACTTCTGGGTTAGTGAGGATGATAGGGTCAGGAATTTGGACAAGAGGAGTCTGGCATCTTTTTAGCTGGCAGAGTGGCAGTTGAAGACCTGTTGCAGAGCTCGGGTTGATCAGTAACAGCTGATCCACTCGTGCCATCCCTGGAAGTGTTGCCCCCTCCCTGGAAGTGTTGAAGGCCAGGCTGGATGAGGCTTTGAGCAACCTGGTCTAGTGGAAGGTGTCCCTGCTGCTGGCAGGGGGGTTGGAACTGGATAAGCTTTAAGGTCCCTTCCAACCCAAACCAGTCTGGGATTCTGTGATCCCTCAGCACACTCCTCCCCTCCAGGTGGGCATTAGTCACCTTTGGAGGGGACAGGCAGGGACAGAAGAGGGTCTCCAGTTGCTGAGGTCTCAAGGTTGAGGTTCATGCTGACACGTGCTGCACACAGTGACCCACGTTTGCACACACCTGACTCACTGATGGTGCAAAGGGGGTTGTGTGTTGTGTAGCTGAATGGGCACAAGCAGGGACAAGGTGGTGATTACGGGCTGAGCTGTGCGTGAGGAGGAGGGAAAAGGACAATTGTGTCCACAGAAGTCAGTGACACAAAGCTGTGAAAACAGGTAACAAGCCCCAAGCCATCCTCCTGTCCTCTAACTCCCACATCCCTAAGCAATTTCTGTGTCTGCAAGGTGTTCTGCTCTAAACCACTTGATTCTCAAACACCCACGACAGAACTCACACCTTATGGCACCCCAGCTTTGGACTGCCAGCATCTCAGCACGCTCCAACTGACACTCCCATCGATTCATCTTCCCAGCCACATGCTCCATCACCCCAGCCTGAGGGCAGGCAGGCAGCATGGCTCACCCCACGCATCTCCCATGGAGGGCACGTCGTGTTGCGCTTCAGATGAGTGAGGGGAACGTCACTCAGGCTTAAATTGTCGGAAGCAAAGGGCAAAACAGTCTGTTTTCCAAAACAAGCAGAGCCGTGAGCTCTGCAGGAGGCAAGGGCCAAGCATGAAGCAGCTGGAGCCTTCAGGCAGCAGCCTGAGAAGCTTTGCCTCAGCCTGGCCAGCAGCTGAAATCCCTATCTTAAGCAAGCCGTGTTTCATCCCACTGGATGCACAAAGTCCCAAGGACCCATGTCCTACCATTAAAAAAATCCCAGCGAGGAGAAAACAACGTTAGGAGAGAAACGCCACTCTAGAGAAATGCCACCGTCTTACGTCTTGTGTCAGAGCTCATCAAAGGACAATTTAATAGCCAGCTTTTCAACCTTGTGTGTCTGTGCTGAAATGGTGCTTTCACCTGAAAAGCCCTCCTGAAGTCAGCGTGAAGGTGAAATGCTTGGAGCAAGGCAGATGGCCTCGCTGCCGAGGCGAACGCTGAGCTGCTCGGGTGTGTGCATGAGAAGGTGGAAGAGCTGAGCTGCAGTTTGTGGCTCTGCTTTTCCTAAGAGTGGTTATAAGCTCATAGCAGAAACCATCCTTGCTCTGCAGATGACCTGAGTGAATCATAGACAGGATATCCAGTTTAGCTCCCCCACAAACCACAGGGATCTCTCCAAGGGCTTCTCAGCCGCCCCCTTTTCAACAGGCTTGTGTCACATCCAGCGCCCAGACAGAGCTCGGACTTTGGGGTCAGCGATGGGGCAGTTTTCATCCTCCTGTGATGGCTGAGCTTTGTTTCCAAAGGATGCCAGGCAGGCAGTGGAGCCTCCTGCCTCTCACACTCTGCAGAGGCTCCAGGTTTAAGTAGGACCATCCCTTTTCTAGCAGTACATGATTTTTGGGCAGGACGTGCTCTCCCCTCCTGCTGCTCTGCCCCAAGCCGGTGGTGACCTCCTTCTCCCCGTCCTACAAAGCCAGCAGCCAGCTGGCTTCGCAGGCTGACACTCGGCTTTCCGCCGGAGCCCTCGCCAGGATAACCTCACAGTACCTCGCTTGTGTTTGAAAAGGTGGAGCTGAGCCAAGAGCAACAGAGCCTGGTGCAGGAGGAAATCCCCCGGCACTCTGGAGATGGGGACTTCAGTGTGCACACACTGCCCCGATTCAGCTTTCATGGCAGGGAGGGGAGAGGGGGAGAGACCTATTACGAAGGCAGCGTCCACCCCAGAGAGGCTCTCCCCACAAACACCCAGCAGTAATGTTCTTAACACAGGTGGTGCCTTCCGTGCAAGGACCTCAAGATGTTTTACAGAGACCTACACTCTCCATCCTGGCAGATCAGGGCTCCTTGCATAGAGGGGAGCTGGTAAAGTGCTGTGACGCCTAAAGGACAGCACCAGTGCAAAGCTACAGGCAGGACAGGGGTGTCTCTCCTCCCAGAGCTATGCTTGTGCACAGGGAGTGGGAGGACAACAAGGTCACATAGGTCTTAGACTTTTGGGATACTTCTTGTCCTGCTTGAGTGACATCAGGCATGTTTCTGTGCCTCTGTTGCTTGATGGTCAAGTTCAGCTGGTGGCACACCCACATTTCTTGGAGTTGGGTGACATTCAGTGCCAGGAGCTGTTACAACGATGGAGCTTCTACTTGTATCGTGTTGGGCTGCCAGAAACTTTTTAGGTTGTTCAGACCTTTTAGGAAGAAGAAAAGCTTGCTGTGAAGATAGGACCCGCTGCAGAGGAGAGATCTTGCAGGCATCTGGTGGGTTTGGCTGCTTGTCCTCCTGGGGTCTGCTCCTGCCCAGTCGTCACTGTCTCAGGACTGGGTCATAGAATCACAGAATCCCAGACTGGTTTGGTTGGGAGGGACCTTAAAGCTCATCCAGTCCCAACCCCCCTGCCATCAGCAGGGACACCTTCCACTAGACCAGGTTGCTCAAAGCCTCATCCAACCTGGCCTTCAACACTTCCAGGGAGGAGGGAAACACTTCCAGGGAGGGTCCAGCAAATGCTGGGCTCACAGCTGAGATTCATTCAGCCAAAGAATAAAATAAGGGACAACAAATAAAAAACAAATAAGGGAGCAGAAACAAGAGGTGGCCAGTCAGAGATGGAAACGGGGCGGTGATGCCTACGGGGTACAGCCCAGATTTCAGGCTGCAGGGAGAGGTTGTGGCTCCTGCTGGTTGCCTCACTGCTAATCAGACTTCAGATTTTAAAGATTCAGTGTGTTTCACACAAGCCTGCACTTTTCTAGAGCATCTACACTTCTCTGCAGCTCTGTGCCCGAGTTTCCCAGCTGGAGGTAATGGTCCTGAGCTGCTTTCAAAGGTTCTTTGGTGAAGTTAAAAGTAGAGGAGGTAGATCTGACTGCTGAGTTGTGCTGCTATTTGAAGGGATGGTATTTAGGATCCCACAGACAGCTCTCCATTAGACTGAGTGGGTGGAAGGGGAAACAACTTATTCATAATTTTGCAAGGAAAGACTGTGATTTCCAAAGGACTTTAGTGAACACAGATGTCCCAAGGCATCCACGACCATCTGGCTCGGTTTTCTCTGATCTGGAGGTTCATGTAGTTCAGAGTTTGTGCGTAAATGAAGGATTCCTTCACATTCTCAAAAGTACTTGTCAGTCCCCAGAAATTCAGTGGTTGATCATCAGAAAGCTCATTACGAGAAGCCACCAGTATGTCTCCCAGTTCTTCCTCTACCTCTTTTTACTGCCTTCCATCTCTTTCCTTCTGCAGCATGGGGTGATCGTCGCAGATGAGGAGGAGTATTTCATTGAACCGCTGAGCCCAGGAGCCAATGTCAGCACAGGGAGCGAGGGCAAGGGCAGCCCCCACGTCGTGTACAAGCGATCATCTCTCCAGTACCCACACATGGATGCAGCCTGTGGTGTGCTAGGTATCTATCCCACCAACCCATCCTCAATCCATCCCAGTGCAGGGTGGAAAACTCCCAGTAGACCAGGGTTTAAAAGTCCCCACTGCTCTGGATGGCAAAGAACCCAATTTATCTCCTGCATTCAAGAAAGTTTTCTGTATTTGCTTTTACCCATGGTCAGGATTTGTGGTGCCCTGGTCTTTGGAAAGCTCTTGTACGCTCTTCTTTGCAACAGGACTTTTAAACTTGTAAATAGAGCGTGGAATAGAAGAGAAAAAAACTGCTTCTTATTGTTCTTAAGAAAAATCCTCCCAGATTTGGCCAATTTACAAGGTATTGAGAAATCATCGCTTACGCCTGCTCAGCAGAGACTTGTCTTTGGGTTTTAGTCACTGAAGATTGTGTCCATGTTGAGATACGTCTGCTGCTGTTAGAGACCAGGTGAAAGATACCTTGTAGGGTGGGATGTGGGATCTGGTTAATCACAGTGAGCTCTGGGAGACGTTTATAAAGAACAGCAATTGCACATCCACCCCATTTCTACACTTACAGGCCTTTGACTTCCTAAAGGACTCTCCCAGGTCTGCCCTGGCCTCTCCTCATGTGCCTGTGCCCCTCTCGTCCTTGTTGGCACTCAGGCTGTGTCCCAAACCCACAGCCCTTGTGAACATGCAGTTTCTCCTTCTACCCAAAGTGTTGCATGGACACAGGATGCTACTCCCTCAGTTCACAGAGGCTTCTGTAAGGATGAGAGGAGGTACCATCCCTGCAGAGGACACAGCTGGTATTTTATGGATTAGAGATTGTGGATGCAGAAGCAGAGCTGTTCCCAGGTGCTTCTGGCAGGTTTGTGTGTCACTTCAGGATGTTCAACCAGTGGTAACACTTGAGCAGATGAGGAGTCACTATTGGAAGAGATAAAGCTTCTGGAGACACTGCTCTGAACAGGCTCTGAGTGTCCCCAGACCTGCCAGCATCTCTGGAGACAACCTGTGCTTCCCTGGCCCAGCTCCTCCCATCCCAGTTCCCAAAGTCACACTGGATGAAGCACCAGCAGACTCCCCTTCTGCTGACTCTTTACCCCATTCCTCAACTTCCAGATGAAAGTTAGCCTGTTCCTAATTGCTTCTTGGAAAACAAAGACCATGCAGTCTTTGTTTTCAAATTGAGGCCAAATTCAGGTCAGAACAACCACAGCACAACTGGCCCCAGCAAAGCTGCAGGCTGGACCTGTCCTGACCTGCCTGGCACAGCTGGGGCCCGAGCACCCCCACGAGCTCCCTCTGATCAGCTGGAGCTGATAGGCTGTGGGGCCACCTGTGACCTGCTCATCTTCCCAGTCTTGATGGATGTTTGATAATCCATCAAAGCAGAGGAGGGGGATTTGATAATCCAACATCAAAGCAGAGGAGGGGGATTCAGCTGGATCTCCTGACAGGGCAGGAGAGGGGTTCTAATCTCCCAGTCAGCTCTCCTGCCCTGTGGTGTTCTCCAGGCTGTGGGTTTGGAGCTGATGGCTCTGCTGGGGACATCTCTAGGGTTGGGTCAGTAGCACTTGAAGCCTGGAGCAAAATCCTACAAACCTGCTGCTGCTTTGGAGGCTGCAGCCATTTCTGTGGAGGAAAAGCCAAGTCCTAAATTCAAGTCCTGGCAGGAAAAGGATAGAGGAAATGATCTGCAGTGGCTTTATTTTCAGATGATGTCTGTGTAGTTTCTAAATCCACACGGCTTGTCCCTGTGATGAGGCGAGGGCAGGACCTTGCAGAGCAGAGGCAGTGACGTGCGTGGGGCTGCCACAGCGGGTGGGCACACATCTCTGCGTGGTACCTGGGCAGGAGGGCAGGCAGGATGCCAGTGGGGATGGCAGGAGCACGGGGACAGCCCTGGGCTGCAGTAGGAAGAGCTCAGCAGATCTGGCCGATGACAGTTGGGGGCATTTGCTGGATCTACATGTGGTGCATAAAGAGCTTCACAATGGCCTTTCCCTCACAGAATCACAGAATGTTGGGGATTGGAAGGGCCCTCGAAAGACCATCCAGTCCAACCCCCCTGCCAGAGCAGGAACCTCAATGAGATCACACAGGAAGGTGTCCAGGCGGGTTTTGAATGTCTCCAGAGAAGGAGACTCCACACCCTCCCTGGGCAGCCTGTCCCAGGGCTCTGTCACCCTCACTGTCAAGAAGTTTCTTCTCAAGTTGAAGCAGAACCTCCTGTGCTCCAGCTCACACCCATTGCCCCTTGTCCTACCATTGGGCATCACTGAGAAGAGCCTGGCTCCATCCTCCTGACATTCACGCTTTACATATTTATAAACATTAATGAGGTCTCCCCTCAGTCTCCTCTTCTCCAAGCTAAAGAGCCCCAGCTCCCTCAGCCTTTCCTCAGCAGGGAGATGCTCCACTCCCTTCATCATCTTGGTGGCTCTGTGCTGGACTCTCTCCAGCAGTTCCCTGTCCTTCCTGAACTGTGGGGCCCAGAACTGGACACAATATTCCAGATGTGGCCTCACCAGGGCAGAGTAGAGGGGGAGCTCATTCTGCCCACCCCTCACCTCTGTGCACTGCTTGGGGGCAACAGAAAAATCTCTTTTCCCCCTCAGATGAGAAGCCTTGGAAAGGGAGGCACTGGTGGCTGCGGACACTGAAGCCCTCCCCTCTGAAGCCATCGGGCAACCACAGCCAGCGAGGCCAGCTGCCCCTGAAGAGATCGGTCAGCACAGAGCGCTACGTGGAGACCCTGGTGGTGGCTGACAAAATGATGGTGGGGTACCACGGCCGGCGGGACATAGAGCAGTACATCCTGGCCATCATGAATATTGTAAGTGTTATAATCACATCATGAACTTTGGGGAACCCCTGGGGCTCACGCAGCCAGCAGCAGAGAACCAGCAGGAGTCAATCCTGTTCATCAACCCTCAATGTCTGGGTTTGGCAGAAGGTGCTTTTCCTGCAGGAAGACAAGTGGGATGGGAACGCAGTGGGGAAATCAGATCTGTTTCAGGATGACAGTGGCTTCTTTCCCCATCTCCAGAGCAAGATGTTTGGGTCAAAAATCCTGACATTGTGCTGCTGCTCATGAGCAGTGATACTCAGGAGCCTGCAGGGACTCTCTGATGTATAGGGGAGGCACTGTAGGAGAGATAAACTCTGGCCCGTCCGACCACGCTCCAGGCCAGATCTGGACTGGGAGAACAAAGCCCTTTCTTTGAACAGCATCTCTCATCTCCAATTAGCATTGCAAATAGGGCCAGCCAAGCTGAGAAACACATGGGAAAGCATAAGGAGAGCGAGCTCTCACGCCTGGGGGCTGAGCAGCGTGAGGGGTGGGGAGAAATACCCCTCGGTCTTCCATACTGAGCTGCCCTTGTCTCTGGGTTAGTGCAGAGGAGCTTCCTCTGCAGCATCACATTTGGGTCATTGCTGGCGGTGGGATACCAGACTCGATGCATTAACAGCCTGAATCAGCCCGTGCTGAATCCTCCTGTGAGGTGAGATAGGCTTGGAAGTTATCCATCAAACCCTGAAAGCCCCTCTCTGATGGTTCTTTGTCCTGTCCTCTGCAGGATCTCTTTTCATGGCTCGCTCTGTTTGCATTTCTAAAGCAGATGCCAGATTTTAAAACAATACCATTTCTAACTGTTTCATCTGCTGTAAAACACCCATCGTGGGGTGGCACATTTCTGAGAGATGCTGTGTCAGTCGTTCCCTGCCCATGAGCAGTCAGCAAAGCTTTGATGGGCAGTCAGCAAAGCTTCATCCTGTGGCTGGGTGACCCCAGGACCATGGGGCTTCCCCAGCTGAGCCCTGGGCAAGGAGCAGGTGCTGTGAGATGTTGGCTTCATTGCTCAGATCTCCCCAGAATCACAGAATCCCAGACTGGTTTGGGTTGGAAGGGACCTTCAAGCTCATCCAGTTCCAACCCCCCTGCCATCAGCAGGGACACCTTCCACTAGACCAAGTTGCTCAAAGCCTCATCCAACCTGGCCGAGAACACTTCCAGGGAGGAGCAGCCACAGCTTCTCTGGCCAACCTGGGACACTGTCTCACCACCCTCACAGCCAACAATTTCTTCCTCACATCTCATCTCCATCTCCCCTCTGCCAGTTTTAAGCCATCACCCCTTGTTATGTCATTAACTGCCCTTATGAAAAAGTCCCTCCCCAGCCTTCCTGGAGCCCCTTCAGGTACTGGGAGGCCACTATAAGGTCTCCCCGGAGCCTTCTCTTCTCCAGGCTGAACAGCCCCAACTCTCTCAGCCTGTCCTCACAGCAGAGCTGCTCCAGCCCTCGCATCATCCTCGTGGCTTCTGGACTCATCCTAACTGGTCCATGCCTTCCTTATGTTGGGGGCTCCAGAACTGGACACAGTAGAAGGAGACACTGAGGTCTGAACATGGTTTAGGAGGCTCTGCAATCCTAGTGGTAACGTGGAGTCCCATACCCATTTCTCCTTTCTAAAGAGATGGTGTTCAGACCCTGCAGCCCATGCTGAGGAAACAGCCCTGTTTCCTTCTGCTGGGTGCCCAACATGTGCCAGCTCAGCCCCTGGTTGCACCATCACCCAGTGAGCTCATTTTTAAGACTCGTCTTTTCTTGTTTCTTGGAGGTCAGGTTGCCAAACTTTTCCAGGACTCGAGTCTGGGCAATATTGTCAATATCCTGGTGACCCGGCTGATTCTCCTCACTGAGGATCAGGTAAGGTGGGCTTTGCTGGTCTCTTCCATCACGTGTCTGTGCTTTCTTTGCGGGTCTGTGTGTTCCCCCTGGATGTCACCCCCAGGAGGTCCCCCCAGGGTGGTCTGCAGGGTGTACCCCCTCCTCTCAATGGCAGCTGGGGGCTGGGTTCAGGCCATGGGCTGAGGGGACCTCTGGGACTCTGAGGACAATTTCTATGATACAATTGCTGTAGGGAATTTAAGGAGCTTTAATCCTAAAGTCTTGCTTTCCCATGGCCTCCATGAAAAGGTGGAGGCATCTGGAGTGGCATCAGTGCTCTGCTGGCATGGGAATAGGCAGTGCCTTCATAGCAGAGCTTTCCTGGGAACACACTGTCGTGTTGCTTCCATTCCAGCCCACACTGGAGATTAACCACCACGCTGGGAAATCCCTGGACAGCTTCTGCAAGTGGCAGAAATCCATTGTGAACAGGAATGGCAATGGGAATGCTATCCCCGAGAATGGCATAGCCAACCACGACACTGCAGTGTTGATCACCAGGTAAGGCTGAACCGGGCCCTGGCAGCGTTGTCCTCATGGGGGGGTGTCCTCTCTGCAGCTGTCTTCTGTCTCTGTCCAAGTGATTCATCCGAGGCTTCCTTCCCATGTGCTCCCCTGCAAGCTGCCTGGCAGAGGCTGTCCCTCAGGGTGGCCGCTTGCCAGTTCCCTTGCAGCGAGATTATTGCAGTTCAGATCGTTATCGTCCTCCAGTGTCTTCCCTCAGTCTTTGTTGTGGTCTCGAGGAGTTGAGTTTGCAGCCAACGGGTATTTGTGCACCAAAAATCAATGACCCAGCGTGTACAGTGGTGTTGGGCATGTGTGGGATCCTACCCCAGAGAGGCCCATTTGCCACTGCTGTGAAAGATGGAGAAGAGGATACAAGTGGAACAGGAATGTCATGACAGTAGAGTGCCTCCAGCCAGGATGGGATTTGGCTCACCTCACTCTAGGTGCCTACATGTAGGACTGAACTCAATCCTTGGCAGCTGATGGACACCCTTGTAGTAGTGACTTCATCCCAGCTCCTTTAGGACAAGAACAGCCCTGCCCTGCCTGTCTCTGTGCTGCTGTAACAACAGTCTGGGTCAGTTTAACGTGGACCTCCAGGTGAATTAGACCTCCAGAGCTGGATGAAGGGATCTGAACCTTCTCATGCAGGACAAATAACCCCCATCAAGAATAGATGAGTGCTTGAGCCTGAAGCAGCAGAGGGTATAGGAGGGATGGCTGGAAGGACAGATGGATGGTTGGAAGGAAAGAAGATGCAGAGAGGATGACAAGGACAGTAGAAGAAACAGGGAATCAGCTGGGAGGACAGAGGATGCTGAAGAGAGAACTAGAAGGAGAGAGGGGACAAAGGGCACCGAGAGGCAGCTCTCAGAGGTGCTGCTGGTGCACCTGGGACACTGGCTCCCCACATAAACCCTGCTTGGGCAAAGGGGCAGCAGCCTGGGGAGAAGCTGAAGGCAAACCCAAGATCTGTTTGTGCCTTTTTTTCCTCCTCTTGTGGAATGGAAGAAAATCATAAAATGGAAGTGCTGGAGAGGGGAGCCTCCAAGCGGGAGCTGGTTTCATTGGCACCATGTGCCGCTCTCCTGCTCCAGTTCCTGGCAGTGGGAGCCATGTGCAGCCTGGCACATCCCTCCTGGAGAGCTCATGAGAGCTGCCTGGTGCATCCCTCCTGGGGAGCTTGTGATGGATCTGATGAGATGAGATGAGATGAGATGAGATGAGATGAGATGAGATGAGATGAGATGAGAGCCTGCAAGCACCAGAGAAAAAGGCCCCTCAGCTCCAGCTTTTCATCCTCCTGGAGCTGCAAGCATCTGCTTTTCCTTCCCTCCCACCACACATGTGGGATGCAAACGCCGTGGCTCCGAGTTCTTCAGCCTCCCACCAGATGTTTGAGCTAACCTGAAGTGACACGCCAGGCTGGCCACACCATGCTTGGACATCACCACGGCATCCGGCTGTGCCTCTAATAAACTCCCTGTCTCCTGATACATCTTGCTGAGCTACAGGCTTTTTTTTTTCTCCTGCAGGGATGTGTCAAACCAGAGCTTCTGAAGGCTTTAATGGTGTTCACTCAAAACAAAGCAACAAATGTTTTTCACTCGCTGGAGTGTTTTTTCCTGAAGAGGGTGAGAGGTTTGGACACTTCCAGAGAGTGCCAGGGGCCAAAGGGACAGGAGCCATCACCAGGAACGTGTTACACTTAACCCATCGTGTGCTATCACCTTGGTGCTTCCTCCCCACTCTCATCCCCATGGGGCCACCGGGGTGAGAGGTGTCAGATGCTCGCCACACAGGTGTCCCCCAAACCCACACCATGGTCAGCATCCTCAGCTCACACTCAGGTTGAAATGCACCTTGGAGCTAAGGAGCAACACCCCAACTTGGCTCTGGGACATCCCTGCCCATCCTGTGCAGATCTCAGTGTTGGCCTTACCCCTTAAGACTTGCAAAGTCCCCAACATCTGGGGTGTCTCACCTTCTGGAGTAGGTATTTGAACAGAGGCAGGGAGGGCACATGGTGCATCTCTGCGATTAAATGATAAGATTCAATCTCTGGCCCAAACTGGTCTCTCCTGGAGCTGCTGCCGTGTCCCATTGTGAAGGTGCTGCATTTCAGCTTGGAGGAGATTTGACTTTGCTGTCCTCGTTTAGCTTTTCCTCATACGCAGTTAATGATGTGCAAACAGTCGATTCCTTCTGGAAGTTCAGGCCAGGAACAGAGGGAAGAGTCATCTTGAATCAACCCATATTGAATTTGTTTGGAAAATTCTCAGTAAAGAACTAAACTGAAAAAAAAAAAATATTAAAAAAAAATCACTTTAGTGTTTGAACGAAACCACAGTGAGTTTTGAAATGGAACATGTTTTCACATGGAAATGTTTTCCTTATTTAAAAAAAAATATAAAATTCAGAATTACATATTTGATTGATATGTTTTGCTGCAAGGGGTGTGAATTTACAGACAGGAGGTTGGCCTTGTCCTCTTCCACCCTGCGCTGCTGGGGCAGATCCCTGAGCCCGATGCCTCCCAGGAGAGAAGCGGTCAGCTCCTGGGAGTGCACCAGGGTTCTGGTGAGCAGAGCTGCACCACCCACCCAAACCCAAAGAGCTTGAAGGCTGGAGTAGTGTTGTCCTTACTGATTGACCATGTGTCATCAAAACCAAACCTCTGTCCCTGCTCAGCATTACCCCATAGTTCAGGGGCAGGAGCTATCGTTAAAAACCCCTGTTTGCCTCAGCCTGGGGAAAGTGAGTGTTGTACAACACAGATCAGAGGCATCTTACCTCTTCCAGCCAGGACTTCCCATTCCAGGTGTGTTGCATGAATCGTGGGCTGTTTTGAAGTGTTTTAGATGTGAACACATCACTAAAATGGAGATGCTCTTATTTTGGAGCCACCAAAATCATCCGTGGTTCTTAACGCTGCCTTCTCTTCTTTGCAGATACGACATTTGCATCTACAAGAATAAACCGTGTGGCACCCTGGGTAGGTGGGATTTTGCTGTCCCTTTAGCAGCACTTCTTGAGGAGCTTGGCAAGGGTGGGCTTTGCCCTGTCCCCCTTTCCTAGTGACACAGGCTGAGGGGGAAGCGCTCACCCGACGCTACCGCGAGCGCCGGCAGCAGAGCCAGGAACAGGCCAGTGGTTTCCAGCCCTCTCCACTGTGTAGCCTCCTTACTTCTGTAAACATTAAAAGCAGCAACCCGGAGGATGGATGGGCTCTGGAATGCTTCTCTGTTATATCCCTGGGTCAGGTCCAGCCTGATGATTAAGAACCGTTCACATCTCGAGCTGGTCCATAGCCTAGTGGAGTATTCCTGGCTTAGCAGAGAGCAAGATGACTTTTTTGTGATGACTATAAAGGGAGTTCTTTATTTAAACTGCGAGACGCAGACAGACCCTGAAGCTCTCTCTGGCTGTAGCTCCTAATTTTTCTTGCCCTGGTCTAGACTAAGCAGTCAGGGAGGGATTACTGCTCTGAATCACTGCAGTTAAAAAGGAAAAGTTGGTGGGAAGACCTGATGAGGCTGCAGACAAGGTGCCTGGGAGGGAGGTTGAGGTTGGAGGTGCCACGATGACTTGATTTGTTCCTTTAGCAGAAATTGTTCCTTCCTTGGCCTGGTGCAGGGGGCACAGCCTGTGGTGATGGGACAGTGAATGGGCAGAGGGTTGGGGGAATCTGCTGCCATGATTCAGGGGGGATTTCTGTGTGATCCAGCCCTCCCAATGGAGTCAGGTTGGATTCCTGACCGTGGTGGGTGTCAACCAGAACTAAGTGCAGATGGTCAGGTTGGATCCTGGCTTGTTTGGTTGTCCAAGCTGCCCTGGTTGAGTTTGGATGTCCAAGTGCTGGTGTAGCTGATCTCAGGTTCCTCCACCAGCACCACCAGTGTTGTGACGAGGACTGTTCCCACTCTGTGCAGTCTGGGGTTTGGGTATGAAATTCAGAGGATTTTAACCCATTCTTAGCATTTCCCAGCCTGTCATTGTTAATTCAGTTGACATGCTGAGTGACCACATGCCCACAGCCCATAAGAGCCACAGGTCCATCCCAAAGCCCAGTGCAACCAGTGGGAAGTTGGCCATGCTTAGTGTTAGTGAGTGTGAGGCCCATCAGCTCGTCCCCAAATGCCACCCATGTCCCCTGCAGATGCTTTGTGCTGACCCTAGGTGACAGCTTTATCTGGTTTCTCTAGGCCTGGCCCCCGTCGGTGGGATGTGTGAACGAGAACGAAGCTGCAGCATCAACGAGGACATTGGCCTGGCCACAGCCTTCACCATCGCCCACGAGATCGGCCACACGTGAGTACTGTGCCACAAGAGTCCCTGGGAGTGGCTGTCACAGGCCACTGTTGGTTTGTTCCTGCCAACAGGAGCTGAAAAATCCTTCCTCCAGACTATCCAGATGTGTTGAAAATGCGGCAGCTGATCATCTCTATTGCCTTGGTGATGCTTTCTAGGTTTGGCATGAATCATGATGGGGTCGGCAACAGCTGTGGCTCCCGTGGGCAAGAAACGGCCAAGCTCATGGCTGCTCACATCACGATGAAGACCAACCCGTTTGTATGGTCCACGTGCAGCAGGGATTACATCACCAGCTTCCTGGAGTAAGGAATCCATCTCACCTTGCCCTTCCTTCTACCTCGCAACCAGTAGACACCTCCAACCTCCCACAGTCACTTGTGAGGAGTGGGTAAAGCCAAAGAAAAGCCCCCCAAGCACACAGCCCATGCTCCTTCTGTCTTGTCTCCCAGCACCTCATCCTAACCCAAGAGGCACGTGCTCTCCTTCCTTCCTTTAGACTTGCCCATGGTTTGCTTGCCTGCTGAAGACACTAACCCCATTTACTTGGCAGCTCTGATAACTTTATTTAAGTTCCCCACTTCCAGAAACTTTGTAAAGAAACCAGAGGCTTTGGGATGTTTGTGAAGTTCAACCAGGAATTGCAGAGAAGGGTTGGTGTGCTGGGCAAGGAGGATCATAGAATCACAGAATCCCAGACTGGTATGGGTTGGGAGGGACCTTAAAGCTCATCCAGTCCCAACCCCCCTGCCAGCAGCAGGGACACCTTCCACTAGACCAGGTTGCTCAAAGCCTCATCCAGCCTGGCCGAGAACACTTCCAGGGAGGAGCAGCCACAGCTTCTCTGGGCAACCTGTTCCAGGATCTGGAGACAGGACTGGGTCTGGATGGTGTAGGAGACACACCTCTAGACACTGAGGAAGAGAGTTTTCAGGTGTGAACAAGCAATGTAGGAGAAAGGGTTTTGTTTTGGGGTTTGTTTTTATTTTTTCCCCAAAAGCACCTTTAGGATTCAGGAGAAGGGATTTAGACTCCTAAGTCCCAGACTCTCTATGTTGTCACCTTGCCTGAGTCATGCCTCTGCCACCTGAAAGAGCTTCTTGTCCATGGTTCAGGCATTTCCCAGGGTTTCTATCACAGAATGAGCAGTCAGGATAAATTTTGGTGAGGTTTTTGGTAGGATACGGGCACTACTTAATAGAAGAGCTGGGTAGGACTTGAGTCATGATTGGAAGAAGCAAGTGTGGAGGGAACTCATGAGCCGGCAATGTGCACTTGCAGCCCAGAGGCCAATAACCGTGTCCTGGGCTGCACCCAGAGCAGCGTGGGCAGCAGGTGGAGGGAGGGGATTCTCCCCCTCTACTCCACTCTCGTAAGGCCCCCCCTGGAACACTGCGTCCAGTTCTGGAGCCCCCAACACAAGAGAGACCTGGACCAGTTAGAACAAGTCCAGAGGAGGCCACAAGGATGATCCAAGGGCTGGAGCAGCTCTGCTGTGAGGACAGGCTGAGAGAGTTGGGGCTGTTCATCCAGAGAAGAGAAGGGAGACCTTCTGGTGGCCTCCC